ATAGAAATTAGAAAAATAACGAGAATTACGAAATTACGAGAAAAAAATACAAAAAATTCGGAAATTATAGGAATTAGAAGTTACGAAAATCACGATCATTTTTAAAAATTTACCGAAATAATGAAAATTGTGAAAAATTACGGGAATTACGAAAATAAAAACGAAAAATTCTGGGAATTACAAAAGATTACAGAAAAAATAAATAAAAATTACGGAAATTATGAGAATTAGAAATATGTTATTACGGAAATTACGAGAAAATTACGATAATTTTTAAAAATTCACGAAAATACCGGAATTAGAAAATTACGAAAAAAAAATAAAAAATTATAGAAATTAGAAAAATAACGAGAATTACGAAATTACGAGAAAAAAATACAAAAAATTCGGAAATTATAGGAATTAGAAGATACGAAAATCACGATAATTTTTAAAAATTTACCGAAATAATGAAAATTGTGAAAAATTACGGGAATTACGAAAATAAAAACGAAAAATTCTGGGAATTACAAAAGATTACAGAAAAAATAAATAAAAATTACGGAAATTATGAGAATTAAAAATATGTTATTACGGAAATTACGAGAAAATTACGATAATTTTTAAAAATTCACGAAAATACCGGAATTATGAAAATTACGAAAAAAAAATAAAAAATTATAGAAATTAGAAAAATAACGAGAATTACGAAATTACGGGAAAAAAATACAAAAAATTCGGAAATTATAGGAATTAGAAGTTACGAAAATCACGATCATTTTTAAAAATTTACCGAAATAATGAAAATTGTGAAAAATTACGGGAATTACGAAAATAAAACGAAAAATTCTGGGAATTACAAAAGATTACAGAAAAAATAAATAAAAATTACGGAAATTATGAGAATTAAAAATATGTTATTACGGAAATTACGAGAAAATTACGATAATTTTTAAAAATTCACGAAAATACCGGAATTATGAAAATTACGAAAAAAAAATAAAAAATTATAGAAATTAGAAAAATAACGAGAATTACGAAATTACGGGAAAAAAATACAAAAATTCGGAAATTATAGGAATTAGAAGTTACGAAAATCACGATCATTTTTAAAAATTTACCGAAATAATGAAAATTGTGAAAAATTACGGGAATTACGAAAATAAAAACGAAAAATTCTGGGAATTACAAAAGATTACAGAAAAAATAAATAAAAAATTATGGAAATTATGAGAATTAAAAATATGTTATTACGGAAATTACGAGAAAATTACGATAATTTTTAAAAATTCACGAAAATACCGGAATTATGAAAATTACGAAAAAAAAATAAAAAATTATAGAAATTAGAAAAATAACGAGAATTACGAAATTACGGGAAAAAAATACAAAAAATTCGGAAATTATAGGAATTAGAAGTTACGAAAATCACGATCATTTTTAAAAATTTACCGAAATAATGAAAATTGTGAAAAATTACGGGAATTACGAAAATAAAACGAAAAATTCTGGGAATTACAAAAGATTACAGAAAAAATAAATAAAAATTACGGAAATTATGAGAATTAGAAATATGTTATTACGGAAATTACGAGAAAATTACGATAATTTTTAAAAATCTACGAAAACATCGGGAATTTCAAAAATAACGGGAATAAAACGAAAAACTATGAAAATTTTGAAAAATTATGGCAATTACGAAAGATTACGCGAAAAAAAAAATAGAAATTATGGGAATTTTTTGTCGATATAGATTTTTTAGTCGATATTGATTTTTTTAGTCGATAACGATTTTTTTTGTCGATATCGATTTTTTAAACAAATATATCGATATATTTTAAAGTTACCGATTTTTTGATTGATATCGACTTTTTTGTCGATATCGATATAGAGTTTTTGTCGATATTGATTTTTTTTCAAAATATCGATCTTTTTTAAGAATATCGATTTTTTTGTCGATATCGATTGTTTTTGTCAATTATTTCAATTTTTTGTCGAAATTTATTTTTTTGTCGATATCGTATCGATTTTTGGAAAATTGATTAGCACAGTGACGTATTTTTCCTCTATCGATTGACAATAAGAAAATGACGTCGACACACATTTTGCCTCATAACTATATTAATTTCAATCCGTTCGAAAAACTTTAAATGTCAAAAAAATTGCAAAAAATTCAAAAAGTTAACAAAAAATTGAAAAAATCATAAATAAAAAGTTGAAAAAATTCAAAAAAAAATCGAAAAAATTGACAACCTAAAAAAATTGAAAAAAGTACCCAAACTCAAAATAGTTTAAAAACTTCTAAAAAGTTGAGAAAACCCAAAAAAAATCAAAAAAGTTGAAAAAAATAAAAATTTCAATAAAATTTTAAAAACCAAAAAGAATCAAAAAAATTGAAAAATGTCAAAAATCCAAAAAGTTGACCAAACTGCAACTGAAAAAAACCCAAAAAAAATAAATTAAATAAAAAAGTTAAAAAGCCGAAAATCTCCAAAAAGTTGAAAAAACCAAAAAGAATTAAAAAAAAATTAAAATCAAAGAAAGTTGAACAAACCCAAAAAAATTGGAAAAAAATTTCAAAAAACATGAAAAAAATAAAAGATCTTGAAAAGGCGAGACAAATTTGAATAATCCAGAAAAAATTGATGAAGTGAAAAAGTTTAAAAAGGCAAAAGAGTTCAAAAAATTGAAAATGTCAAAAAAAAAAAATTCAAAAAAGTCAAAGAACACAAAAAAGTCGAGTAAAGTTGAAAAAGCCCAAAAAAAGATGAAAAAAATCAAAAAACCCAAAAAGTGAATTAAACTCAAAAAAAGTATTAAAAAAAATAAAAACTCAAAAAAACTGTTAAAATCCAAGTTGATCAAATCCAAAAAAGTTTGAAAAAACAGAAAATATGAAAAAACTTAGAAAATCTAAACAATTAACCAGATTCAAAAAAGTTAAAAAGTTGGAAAAATTCAAAATTTCGATAAAAAAAAAAAAATTAAAAGAATCCAAAAAAGTTGCAAAAAATCCAGAAAAGTTGAAAAAATCCAAAAAAATTGAAAAAACCTTAAATGGCAGAAAAGCTGTGAAAAAATTCAAAAAATCAACTGAACTCAAAAGTGTTGGAAAAACCCAAAATGTCAAAAAAACTAAAAAAAAATCCGGAAGTTACTGAACCCAAAAAAGTTGAAAAAAACTAAAAAAAAAATCGAAAAAATTGACTAAACCCAAAAAAATAAGAAAAATCCAAATCAAAAAAATTATTCAATCTAGTTTAAAAACTTTAAAAAAGTTGAAAAAACCCAAAAAGTTGAAAAAGCTGATAAAATTCAAGCTCTACAAACTACTCAAAAATTGTCAAAACAAATTTACTGTCAAAAAAATTCAATAGTTGTAAAAAATTCAGTTGTCAAAAAAAAATGGCTTTATTGACATAATTGTCAGAAAGCGAGTATGTGTGAGATTAATTGTCAGATAAATATTCGACATTGTGTCAATCAATTATTGATAAATTACAATTGTCAAAAAAAATGTTTTTTTTTTGTAGATATCAATTTTTTTTTGTCGATATCGATTTTTTGTTGTGATCGTTTTTTTTTTTTAAAAAAATATTGATCCCTTTTTCGATACCGTTTTTTTTTCGAAAATATCGATCTTTTTGTCAATATCGATTTTTTTCGTCGATATCGATTTTTTTGTCGATATCGATTTTTCATCGCTATTAAATTTTTTAATCGATATCGATTTTTTTTTGTCGATATAATTTTTTTTCGTTTTTTTTTTTCAAAATATCGAAATTTTTGTCGATATCGATTTTTTTTATCAATATTAATTTTTTGTCGATATTGATTTTTTTTGTCGATATGGATTTTCTGTTGATATCGATTTCTTTGACGATAAATATTTTTTTTTAAATATTTTTTTCCCTTTTACAATTATTTTTTTTTGACGTTTTTTTCTTAGAAAATTTTTTTCCGTCGTTTTTTTTCTTAGAAAAATTTTTTCCGGCGTTAATTTTCTTAGAATTTTTTTTTTTAAATATTTTTTTCCCTTTTACAATTATTTTTTTCCGACGTTTTTTTTCTTAGAAATTTTTTTCCGGCGGTAATTTTCTTAGATTATTTAATTATTAAAATTTAAAAAATTAAAAATTAATAGTATTACTCAAACTTATTTTTTTTTTCAAGGATTTTCCTCTTTTAAAATTTGCTAAAATATTAAATGACAGCTGTCAAACTTGAAGTTCAGCTGTGTGAAAATTGACAGCTGTCAAATTTGACGGATGTCCGGTATTTGATGAAAATATCGAATTTTAGTTTAACATTTTTTTCAAAAATCTTACGGAAAATTCGAATTTTTCTATAAATCATTTTGTCGATATCGTTTTTTTTTTTTTTGAAAATATCGATCTCCTTCTCGATATCGATTATTTTCGTCGATATCGATTTTTTTGTTGATAATGAATTTTTTCGTCAATATAGATTTTTTTTGGTTGATATCGATTTTTTTGAAAATACATATATACATATCGATATTTTTGAGGATATCAATTATTGTTTTGTCAATATCGATTTTTTATCGACATTGAAGTTTTTTAGTCAAAGTAGATTTTTTTTTTGTCGATATCGATTTTTTTTTTTTAAATATCGATATTTTTTTAAAAATATCGATATTTTCCGAAGTTCCCGATTTTTTGGTCGATATCGATTTTTTGTCAATATCGATTTTTTTTCAATATCGATTTTTTTTCGATATAATTTTTTTTATCGATAGTGAATTTTTTAGTCGATATCGATTTTTTTTTCGATATCGAGTTTTTTTGTCGATATCGATTTTTTTTGAAAATATCGATTGACATTGACTCACATTTTGCCCTATAACTCTGTTAATTTCAATCCGATTTCAACGTAATTAGTCGCAAAATCAAGCCAATTAAATTCTCTACAAATGACTAGAAGATCATTTCGATGCAACTTTGATAGTTTCCGAGTTAAAAGCTCCGGAATCTTTAATTTTTCAAAAACAAAACCCTTACCTGAAAACTCTTCGAATCGCGCAGTTGCAAACCAAACTGCTGCGCACCATTTCCATTGCGCATCCTCTCCACTTGCCCCTTAGCCTCACGACAAATCCTCGAATACAGCAAAAGCATCGCGCACCAAATCAGCGCGAACATCGGACACAAAACAAAGTTCAAATAATCGTCAGGTACCACATTGAAAAATTCACATTCGGCGCCTGCGCGCCACTCGTTCCACTTCACCGGCATCGCCGCCACAGCAAAACTGACACTCCAAGCAACCATTACGACAACAACCGAACATTTCCGAGTCACAACCCGAGCGTAGTGCAACGGATACACAATTGCCGCATAGCGATCGCTGGCGATAACGAGCAAATTCGTGATCGAGCTCGAACAAGCGAACGAAACGAGCACGAACCGAAGTAAACAGTTCGTTTTGCTCGAACCGAATTCGGAGTTGATCGTGTAAAATGTCATGTGATAAGGGATTGTCAGGCCGACGAACAAATCGCTGATTGCCAGGCTGAAAATGAATTGGTTGGCGACGACTGAGCTTAGTTTGCGGCTAAAAAAGATCGCTGCAATTGTCAAAAGGTTGCCAGAAATTGTGACAGCTGTCAATGTGACGTTGACAATGAACCAGACGATTGTGCCGTTGTAGTCTTCGCCGAGCGATTGGGTTGCGTTTGTTGACATTTTGTCACATTTTTCCTTGTGTCACTATGTCAGTTTTCTTGTCGTAACTTTTTGTCACTAAGTCAATTTTTTGTTACTATGTCAATTTTCACTGTGATACTCTGGCACTATTTTTTACAGTAACTTTATCTAGTTCACTTTGTCAAATTTCACTAAGACATTTTGTCACTATGTCAGCATTTTATCACTATGTTAGGGTTTTGAGTTCAATGTGTCACAGTTTGTTTTTTTTTTTGAGACATCTTATCATTATGTCAATTTTTACTTCAAACACTTTGTCACTATGTCAGTGTTGTTTTGGGTCAATTTATCACCATGTCAGTGTTTTTTTTACAGTTCGCTGTATCACTATGTCAGGCTTTTTATCACCATGTTATTTTTCACTTGAAACATTTTGTCACTATGTCAGTTTTTTTGTTTATTTTGTGACACTTTCATCATTTTTTCTGAAATTTGAACAATCGATGAATTTCGATAAATTAACAAAAAAAATATTTTTGACATTTTTTATAACATTATAAACTCGTTGGAAAAAAATGATTAAACGAATTTCAAGAATTGTTTCAAACAAAAAATTTGTCCCAACGAGTTACAATAAATGATTTTAAAACGTTTTTTGGTATTTCTGGAATTTTTCAAGGAACTCAATAAAAACTCGTTGGAAATAAAAATCCATCAAATTTCATTGAATTTTGAAAATAATTGAACCAACGAGTTTCGATAAATAAAAAAAAAAATTGAAAAATATTTTTGAGATTTTTAAATACATTAAAAACTCGTTGGAAAAAAATTATCCAACGAATTTCAAGAATTTTTTCAAACAAAAAATTTGTCCAACGAGTTCCAAATAATTTTAAAACGTTTTTTGGTATTTCTGGAATTTTTCAAGGAACTCGATAAAAACTCGTTGGAAAAAAAAATCCATCAAATTTCATTGAATTTTGAAAATAACTGATCCAACGAGTTTCCATAAATTTAAAAAAAAAAAAAATTGAAAAATATTTTTGAAATTTTTTAAAACAATATAAACTCGTTGGAAAAAAATTATCCAACGAATTTCAAGAATTTTTTGAAACAAAAAAATTGTCCAACGAGTTACAAATAATTTTAAAACGTTTTTGTATTTTTCGAGGAACTTGATAAAAACTCGTTGGATAAAAAAAATCCATCATTTTTATTGAATTTTGAAAATAATTGAACCAACGAGTTTCGATAAATTAAAAAAAAAAATTGAAAAATATTTTTGAGATTTTTTAAAACATTATAAACTCGTTGGAAAAAAAAATATCCAACGAATTTCAAGAATTTTTTTTAACAAATAATTTGTCCAACGAGTTAAAAATAATTTGAAAATGCTTGTTAGTATTTCTAGAATTATTTAAAGAACTAAATAAAAACTCATTGGAAAAAAAAATCCATCAAATTTCATTGAATTTTGAAAATAATTGAACCAACGAGTTTCGATAAATAAAAAAAAAAATTGAAAAATATTTTTGAGATTTTTTAAAACATTATAAACTCGTTGGAAAAAAATTATCCAACGAATTTCAAGAATTTTTTGAAACAAAAAAATTGTCCAACGAGTTACAAATAATTTTAAAACGTTTTTTGGTATTTCTGGAATTTTTCAAGGAACTCGATAAAAACTCGTTGGAAAAAAAAATCCATCAAATTTCATTGAATTTTGAAAATAACTGATCCAACGAGTTTCGATGAATTAAAAAAAAATTGAAAAATATTTTTGAGATTTTTTAAAACATTATAAACTCGTTGGAAAAAAAAATATCCAACGAATTTCAAGAATTGTTTCAAACAAAAAATTTGTCCAACGAGTTACAAATAATTTTAAAACGTTTTTTGGTATTTCTGGAATTTTTCAAGGAACTCGATAAAAACTCGTTGGAAAAAAAAATCCATCAAATTTCATTGAATTTTGAAAATAACTGATCCAACGAGTTTCGATAAATTAAAAAAAAAATTGAAAAATATTTTTGAGATTTTTTAAAACATTATAAACTCGTTGAAAAAAATTATTCAACGAATTTCAAGAATTGTTTCAAACAAAAAATTTGTCCAACGAGTTACAAATAATTTTAAAACGTTTTTTGGTATTTCTGGAATTTTTCAAGGAACTCGATAAAAACTCGTTGGAAAAAAAAATCCATCATTTTTATTGAATTTTGAAAATAATTGAACCAACGAGTTTCGATAAATTAAAAAAAAAAATTGAAAAATATTTTTGAGATTTTTTAAAACATTATAAACTCGTTGGAAAAAAATTATCCAACGAATTTCAAGAATTTTTTGAAACAAAAAAATTGTCCAACGAGTTACAAATAATTTTAAAACGTTTTTTGGTATTTCTGGAATTTTTCAAGGAACTCGATAAAAACTCGTTGGAAAAAAAAATCCATCAAATTTCATTGAATTTTGAAAATAACTGATCCAACGAGTTTCGATAAATTAAAAAAAAAATTGAAAAATATTTTTGAGATTTTTTAAAACATTATAAACTCGTTGAAAAAAATTATTCAACGAATTTCAAGAATTGTTTCAAACAAAAAATTTGTCCAACGAGTTACAAATAATTTTAAAACGTTTTTTGGTATTTCTGGAATTTTTCAAGGAACTCGATAAAAACTCGTTGGAAAAAAAAATCCATCAAATTTCATTGAATTTTGAAAATAACTGATCCAACGAGTTTCGATAAATTAAAAAAAAAATTGAAAAATATTTTTGAGATTTTTTAAAACATTATAAACTCGTTGGAAAAAAATTATTCAACGAATTTCAAGAATTGTTTCAAACAAAAAATTTGTCCAACGAGTTACAAATAATTTTAAAACGTTTTTTGGTATTTCTGGAATTTTTCAAGGAACTCGATAAAAACTCGTTGGAAAAAAAAATCCATCAAATTTCATTGAATTTTGAAAATAATCAATCCAACGAGTTTCGATAAATTGAAAAAAAAAATGAAAAATATTTTTGAGATTTTTTATAAACATTATAAACTCGTTGGAAAAAAAAATATCCAACGAATTTCAAGAATTGTTTCAAACAAAAAATTTGTCCAACGAGTTACAAATAATTTTAAAACGTTTTTTGGTATTTCTGGAATTATTTAAGAAACTCATTAAAAACTCGTTGGATAAAAAAATCCATCAAATTTCATTGAATTTTGAAAATAATCAATCCAACGAGTTTCGATAAATTGAAAAAAAAAATGAAAAATATTTTTGAGATTTTTTAAAACATTATAAGCTCGTTGGAAAAAAATAATTCAACGAATTTCAAGAATTGTTCCAGACGAAAAATTTAAATTTAACAATTTTGAAAGATTATTTATTGACATTTTAGACAGTTTTTTTGTTTTTTGACATTTTTGACAATTTTTAATTTATTGACCTTTTTGACAGTTTTTTTCTATTTATTGACACTAAGACAGTTTTTTTATTCATTAACATATTTGACATTTATTCACACTTCTGACAACTTTTTTTATTGATTGGCATTTTTGTTAGTTTTTTAATTTATTCACATTTTGACAATTGTTTTGTTAATCAACATTTGACAATTGTTCCATTAATTGACCTTTGACAATTGTTTCATTAGTTGACAATTGATAGTTATTTTGTTTTTGACATTTGACAATTGTTTCACTAGTTGACATTTAACAATTGTTTTGTTTATTGACATTTACTTTCCGACGTTTTTTTTTTATTTTTTGAAATTTTTGACAGATTTTTATTTCTTGACATTTCTGACAATTTTTCTCAATTCAAACATGTCAAAAAACAAATGAAACGGTCAAAAATGACAATAAATAAGTAATTGTCAAAAATGTTAATAAATACAAAAAAACTGTTAAAAATGTCAATAAATATAAAAAATCGTTAGAAATGTCAATAAACAAAACAATTGTTAAATGACAATTAATGGAATAATTGTTAAATGTCAACAAATGGAACAATTGTCAAAAATGTCATCGAACAAAATAAAAATCAGTTATTGTATTATCAATTATTAAATTAGAATAAATGTCATATATCAATAAACAACAATCAATTGTCAAAATGCAAATAAATGAAAAAAATTGTCAAAAATGCCAAACAATGAAAAAAGTTGTCAAAAATGGCAATCAATAAAAAAAGTTGTCAGAAGTGTCAATAAATGAAAAAACTGTCTAAAATGTTAATAACTAAATTTTCAAATATTAATCAACATATAAACTATTAAAATTATTTTCAAATGTCAATAAACGTAACAACTGTCAAATGTCATTGAACGAAATAATTGTCAAATGTCAACAAACAAAACAACTACGAATTGTCAAAATGTCAATAAAAAAAAAAAACTTGTCAAAAATGGTAAATGTCAACAAACAAAATAAATTGTCAAATTTCAATTAAAAATAGAATTGTCAAATGTTAATAAACAAAACGAATGTCAAATGTTGACAAACAAAACAACTATCAATTATCAAAACTCAAAACTTTCTAAAATGTCGATAAATAAATAAACTGTCAAAAATGTCCATAAATAAAAAATACTGTCACAAATGTTTATGAATGAAAAAAAAATTATTAAAACTTTTGATAAATATAAAAACTGTCAAAAGTGACAAATATCAACAAATAGAAAAAAACTGTAATTAAATTGAAAAACTCTTAATAAATAAATGAAAACTGTTAAAAATGTTAATAAAGGAAAAAATTTCGATAAATAAAAAAATGATCGAAAATATCAATATATGAAAAAAAAATTGTTGAAAATGTTAATGAACTAAAAACTGTCAGAATGCCTGATTGATAACAAAAAATAAATAATAATTGACATATTAGTTGTCAAAAAAAAAAAAAATTGACGTGTGTAGTGTGAGTGTAAAAAAATTGCAAAAAAAATGTAGTTGTCAAAAAAAAAAAAAAATTCAATTGTCAAAATACCTGATTAATGACAACAAAAAATAAATATAATTGACATAGTAGTTGTCATAAAAAAAAAATATTTGACGTGTGTCAATTTTTTGTGAAAGTGAGAAAGTTCAATTATTGTCGAAAAAAAAATTTAATTGTCAAAAAAAAAAAATCAACTGTCAAAATATTAATTGCAAAAAAATGAGTATAAGTGACATAATGTTATTAATTGTCAAAAAAAAATTATTTGTTTGACATTATGTTATTTTTTACAGGAAGGCTCTGTCAATTTTTTT